GCTCACATCAACAATTTCCTGCGCCGTCTCCAGAGGTGCGGTCCCCTCGTCCAACTCAACAATTTCCTGCTCCGCCTGCAGAGGTGCGGTCCCCTCGTCAAGCTCAACAATTTCCTGCTCCGCCTGCAGAGGTGCAGTCCCCTCGTCCAGCTCAACAATTTCCTGCTCCGCCTCACGTGGTGCGGTCCCCTCGCCCACTTCAGTGATCATGTTCATTTTTTCAAGAATAACAGCTTTTTCGGTGTTGTGTATTCGTGATGATGTAGCTATGTTGTTTTCTTGAAGTTGGCTTATTTGTTCTTGTGTATTTTGGTATAATTGACTTTCGGATATTGTTGTTTGGGATTTTGTTTGAATGCTTGTTGTCATCATCGGCGTTACTGGTTGTGTAAAGTACGTGTTTTGTTCCTCTTCTAGTTGTTGAAGTGTATCTGTAAGTGATGCAAGGCGTTTCTGGATGTAAGCTTTTGCGGTTTGATTGTGGTCCTCTTCCTCTTCTGATTTTTCCTCGTTTAGTTGAAAATCATGTTGAATTTGATAGTTTGTCAGTGTGTCGCTGACTACATTGTTATAGGGGCAGTGTGGTGACTGTAGAGATTCATACATCGTGAGGTCCGTGAGCGTTTGTTGATCCCAGTATGGGCTTTGTCGCTGATTTGCTGAACGCGTTTTGAGTTCCGTCGATGGACGGCGCTCTTCATGTTCATAAATGTGGTGATGCAAGTTTTTTGTTGTGTCAAATTCCTCGCGTTGCTGATCGGAAGGAGTGCCCTCACGTTCACCAGGCATTGTATCCGCGCTGGCGGCTTTGTGTTCCAACTCTGTATCAGTGTCGGTTGACGTGACAGAGGAGCTGCGGGAGGAGTCGAGCGGTGCAGCGTTTGGAGGGTGATGCTTCGTATTGTCCTGCAATGGCCTGCCCTCATCGTTGTGAAACACGCCGTGTTGGAGGAGTACCGGTACAGTAATTGTTGCGGCGTGTGAGGACAGCTGCAATTTGTCTTCGGCTTCCGCATGCCTGGGCTTTCCAAGATTCGTCTCACTTATTTCCAGCAGTGGAGCTGAGCGTGGTCGTGGCGACAGCCGATCACCTCGTGGTGTTTCCCTTTGCATGCCTCTTACCACTGCACTTTTATGCCGTTCCGCCATCACGGCTAGGGTGGCCCGTGAGCTGCCCTCATCGAGGGCTATTGACCGACGATCCTCCTCTTCTGTCGCCCTTGACAGTGTCAGGGCAGCCTCCAACGCCTCATAGTTTTCTGTGACCCTCTCGCTCGGTGTGAGAAAATCATATTGGCATCGCTGCTGCCACGAGCCGGAAGAGATGACGTTGCGAAAAAAGCCTGTTCCCGGTGGGCTCTGCCTCAATGAGGTGACCGTTGAGGACTGTTCGTGTCCGTCCGAGATGCTGCCCATCATCGTTTTCACACCAGAACCTTCGTGCGCCCCAGCAACGTCCTCCGTCGCAAGAATTTCTCCGTTGGACACACCCGTGCTTTCGTCTTGACGTGACGCTGGACATAAGTGCGGATTACATCCTTCCTTTAACTCAACCACTACGCGAAAGGTGTCTGTGCAATTACACACGCTTCGTGGTGTCAGTAAGGTGTAAGTGTTGAAGTTCCTGTCTAGGTAGGTGATGTACGCGACCACCAGGTTTAGCAGGGAGGCGTCCCCCGCGATGGCTTCAACGATGTCCTCAAAGGAGGTGGGGGCCTTTCCCCTTGGAACCATCAGCTTTGAGGCGCCGACGCAATTGCCGCTCCTTGTCACGAACGTCACTTCCCAGTAGCCGAGATCGCTGGTGTGGGCGGCGTCGCTGCCGCCGTCTCTGGAGAAATTGCTCCCCATCCTTAAGTCGGTTGCCGCGCTGTGACGTCCAAGGGTGCCCGGCGTATGGCGAGTCGACACCGATCCGCCCGCGAAGCCCAGTGAACGCCACGATTGTGGCGGCTGCAGTTGGTGAGTGCGGTTATTGCTAACATGCATCAGCGACTCATTTGGTGCACGTACCTCCTGTGGCTCCAGCTGGCGCAAGCCGTATAGCTGCGGCGGGAGTGTCTCCCTGCTGGACGTAAAATGATGGCTAAGAACTCTTTGCCGCGTTTGTGGGGGGGATCTTTGGTGTTCCGTGGCGGTCCCCGCCCTATTTTGACTACTATGCATTTATTCGCACCTCCCTGGAGGTCACACCACAGACTCCTTGTGTTCCTCAACACCTTTTTCCTCCTTTCTTTTTCCCGCTTTTCTGCTGCTTCCCGCGGAGTATTAACTGCTGCTCACGACTGCTCCCCCCACCACACACACACACACTATTGCAGCAGCAGCCAGCGTAGCAACGTTATCCACGACGTGCAGAGTCGCAAGGTATGACAAGGAGAGTCCGTCTTATTTCTACTTCCTGCGTGGTAGGAAATAGCGTGGCAGGCACGTTTCTTCGGTCACTTTTTGACCCAATACTCTCCTTACCGCAAGCAACTTAACTGAGATTCTCTATATATTATATAATATATATATATATTATATATATAACTGCGCTAGAGAAAAGAATGCACCCCGTATTCTACAAAGTACCAACAAATAATGTTTTTGACCCAACACCTTCCTCCCCGCAAGCAACTTAACTGAGATTCTCTATATATTATATAATATATATATATATATATATATAACTGCGCTAGAGAAAAGAATGCACCCCGTATTCTCCTAAACAGAACCAACAAATAATGAAAGGTGTGATTGTGAAACGTGGGTGTCAACAAAAATAGACAGAAAAATTTAAAAAAGCGGCAATCGTGGCACATAACTCCTGGCAAAAAATTAAATTAAATTAATAATAATGACACATTCTTCATTCGGTCATTGGTTTGGCTTCACTTTGTCTCTTTGCTTCTAAAGGCCGGACAGCCCTCACTGCATGGGTCCCCGCATGCAATGCCACGTATACGCATGTGTGGATCCCCGCTGAAGACAAACACAAACACGCAAATAATAATAATAATAATAATTCAGCAAAAAAAAAACACAGTGGTTCCTTCGTTTTGGTTAATGTACATAAAAGGGGCTGCTGCCAGTGCCCCGGCCGCACCTCGCCGTGGAGAATAGCCTCAAAAGGCAAAAGAGATGCAGGTGGGGCAGACGCGTCTTCTCGCCCCGCGCCGCAGGCGTACCTCTGGTAGCCGGGGCTGCTTGGATGCGCACACACACGCGTAGCCACGGCGGCGGTAGCTGCCAACGAAAAGAAAAAAAATCACAACAAAAGACCGCCTTGTTTGCTCCACTGCATGCACGGGTTTTTTACACAAATGCACGTGGTGATGCGTGGCAGGAGACACGTAAAAACCATGGCATTACCCCCCGCACCTTCCTCCTCACTTCTGCCACCTCCACACACACAGACGCACACGTGCCCCGCCCATTATTCACCTGCAAGCGGCAACGGAGGTGTGACGCAGTTATATATATATATATATATCAGCAATCGCAGAAGCATTGAAGGTACTGCCACGATGTTTGGGGATTCGGAACACACAACACTTTTTCCTTCTCGCTGCCCTCGTCATCGCTGTGTGTTTTATTGGTTCTGCTGGTGTATACGCCCAGAAGCAGATGAAAGGAATATCGCCGCTCCATAGCGCGAGGCTAACCCGCGCCGCCGCTTGGAGTGCACGCGCGACTCCGGCCAGCAGAATAAATGCTTCGGCTCGTGCTGCGCGGATCACACGGCGGGGCAGACTCACCAATCGCGTGCAGCCGCGCAATCCCGTCCGGAATCTCGCTCCGCGGTTGCTCCACAACGGACGGATGCGGTACCGAGACTACCGAGGAAGAAGAGGACAAAAGCGGCGCAACATCGCAGAAGAACGTGTTTTGCAAGCAGGCAGCATCGGTCAGCGTCGTGGTCCTGTTTTCCAGTAACCCGTCGCCGTTGCTGGTTGGCGCTGATATCGCAGCACTGCATTAGGAACGTCTATCGTCGTTTGACACACACGCCGCTGGCGCACTCAACGAGGCCACAACGCCGCTCAACGAAGAGGGAGGCGCCGAAAAATTTAATAGCCACCTTGCCTCAGTGCTGGGACAAACTTCTTCCTTGTGCGCCATGAATGAGCAGTGAGCCGTCAGCAGCGCACTCGAGTTGTCCCCTACAGGCGTACGTACATTCGTGGGGACAACAAATACACAAAACTGTCATCCAATGCAGCAGCAATTCTCATGCGTCACACGGACGTAGCTGCAAAACTCCTCACTATAGTAGAAAACTGCATGAACCACATACGACAGCGGTGCGACTAGGCGCGTTAAATGTCGAAAGATAACGACCTCGTTCAAGTGAAAGTTGACGGCACTGTAAGTTGGTGGCATGCACTCCAGCGTCATAAATGCATCCTCATCTTCGTCGGCGCTCACCATGCCTGCGGTGAGTGCAACACCCCAGCGACGATCCTGCATCCAGCACGGACCCAACACCGCCTCCGCCTGAGCCGCAGCACACGCCATAAGAGGTCGCTGCGCGGCTGATGGCAGTGACCAACAACGAGGTCCGCAATTCCGTCAAAGATGCATTGAGAGCCCCGAGCGACGCACGGAATCAAAAGTGACGGCCTCTGTTGGTGCTCGTTTCGTCCGTCGTCCACCACCGACAGTGTGACGGGTTGACGCGTTGTTTCTGCATCAGCTTCCGCAGTCGCTCCACCCACCCGCGGGTGTCGTCCTCGGACTCTGGGAATGTGCAGGGGAACACAACCGAGAAAAAACCATCTACGGAAACGACCCTGTCTGCTTCCTGCAGGTGAATGAACCTGAGTTGTGAGAGACGCGAGTGCGGCCCCGAGCGAATTGCTGTGGAGAATGGGGACTCACATCGCTGTCGTTGAAGAACAGTCTGAATGGATGCCGCCTGGTCGAACGGTGGCTGCATCGTGCACGCGTACAGAATTATATCCCCGCCTCTTTCTTGCTAATGTCGCATGATACACGGGGAACAAACTTTTACTTCTTCTCCTTCCCGCAAAGCCTCGTTATGTGCATCAAATAAGCATCCACCCCCTTCCAATTGCTAAGGAAGTGGCAAGAGAAACAAAAAGAAAAAAAAAGCGGGAATGCGTACCCTTCACAAGCAAATACAAGGGGCAGGCACAAACACAAACGCGCCAAGGCATATCTCAATAGAGGGAGAATAAGAAAGAGGCAGACAGTAGTCACTGAAAGAGAAAGCTCGGTGTTGCAGACATCACGCTGCCCCGTCACGCTGCCGCTTCACTCTTCGTTTCCCATTCATAGACACCTCCATGGCTCGCTCGGCCTGGAGTCGGCGACGGCGCAAGAAGGAGGCCGCTTTTCCCCAAACAGCCTCCAGCCCCTTCTGATGCCGCGCAAACCCGGTCTTCGCCAGCTGCAATCCCTCCTCCGTCTCCCCCAACCAAAAGTCTTTGCTTCCTTGCGTTAGCAGTGCCAGGACGCTGTCCCACGCAGCCCGCGTCTCCGCATCGCGTCGGACGTGGACACCGCAGAGAAGGACGTACACGGGAGACTTGGTCAGGTGCATCGTCTCCAGAATGTGAATGCCTCCGTGCACGAGTGGATGCAGCTTCTCAAGCAGAATAGAAAGACTGGCACACTGTGGGACGCCGAAGACGAGCATGATTGCACCACCCTCTTCAACGTGCTCCACCGCAAAGCGAAGCTGCGGCACAAGAAAACTAAACCACGGCAGTACGGGCTGCACCTCACCGCTAACAATAACCTCCGCCCTGTTCCTATCAGCCTCGGTGTCGTGTGAGCGTCGCTCTGCGCTGCGCTGCCCGTGATCCTGCACCGCTCCACCATTGACGAAGTCAAACGTCCGCCCTCTAATAGATTCATGCCAGTCATTTTCCGTAATGCTTCCCTCAATAAACTCGTACCGCGCGGCCGCCGCTGGTGACTGCAGCCATGACACGTCGGATGCGATGCCGCCGTGACTGACGGGAAGCGATACCCCCACACCACGCCAATGAAGCTCCGACACGAGAAACTTTGACACACCGCCAGGAGCAGAGCCAAGGTCAAGAAAAGTGGGTGAACTCCATTCTTCCGCCTCTACCGCTTTCTCCAACGGTGGGTCACGTCTTGCCGGAGACGAGGGGGTAAAAAATTCCGGCGCAGCCCGCAGAAGCACACGCCCGGCATGCTCGCAGTACCGCTCACACAACCTCACGATGTCGCTGTTACCAAACGATGTCGCAGGTGTGGCAGTCGTACCGTCTTGCCGCTGCCTGTACCACCAATCCAACGCCTCCGACTGCCATCCTGCCGCACGTTCCCGCTCGAGCTCAGAATAAACTGCAGAAGCCGCCTGCAGATATTTGCGCCAACGATGACACTCACCAAAGCCGCTGCCCGCCGTTGCGCTAGGGGCATCAGCACCCGGTGCTGCGCTGGTCACACAGGCGTTCATTCCCCTGCCACACTTCACCCCTTTTCTGCAAACAAAAAAAAGTCTAAAACGGTTGCATCGAAGCAAGCAAAAGAAAAAAAACACACACATTTGTTTCTGACACGTGGGCGACGACCCCACACGCAGCGTAAGGAGGTCCCCATCACACACAACGCATAAAAAAAGAGGGGGGGGGGGGAGAGGGCGTCAAAAACAACCAAATAAACGAGCATCATGTAATGATATTACTCGAGGGAATTTCCCCCCACCCACCCACCCCAGTCGCTCCTCTCCTTTTCCTTCCTTCTAGTTCTCTGCCTCACACGTGCATGCACTCCGCGTTTCCCGTACCGCTAGCTGGGGCGACCCTAGTTCGCCGCAGGGTTTTTTTTGTTTCGCTCAATATTATAAATGTACAACTTCTTGAGCACTGTGTCCGTGCACTGACCAAAAGCAACATTTTCCTTGAAGCAGTCCGTGGACCACCGCGCTCCCGCCGCCTTCTGGCACTTTACGCCGACGTCGTATTCCTTCTTGCAGAATATCATCGCAATCCCCTCCAAATAGGCGCTCTTCTGCTTCTGACACACAAAATTGATGTCGTCGTTGACGCGAGACTGGAGGCACTTCTCCAGGTCCTGCCGTTGTTTATCGTACACGCTCGTGAACCTGTCCGCAAGCTCATTGAACTCTTTAGTGTTGCGGGACATTGTCATTTCACACGTATCACACCAAATATTGCTCTTGTTCGAGGTATTCTCTCTCTCTCTCTCTCTTGCACCCCCAACGTCTGTGATGTCCGACCTAAGTTTGGACTATTACCTTATCTTTACGGCTCTTAGTATATTCCGTGCTTCTAGCAGTGCATGTGGCGCCTCGTATATGCTATCTATATGTTATCTGATTGCAGCTTATCTCGTGTGGATGACGTTGCAACGTTAGTCGCGATATCCACTCACCGCTATCTTCTATTGACTTGTTGTTGCTCTCCAACACATTCATGTAAGTACAATGTATGCATGCATACACGTACATTACGTGTAGAAGGAGGGTTTTGGCGGCAAGCGGAAGCATGACAAGCGGAACAAAAAAAAAACAGAGAGCACAGAAAAAATTACATGCGTATTCAATTTTATATGCATGTGAGCAGCGGGATTGGGCCCTCCCGCACTCACAGAAAATGAAGAAGAGGAAGAGAAGCGACTGAGGGAATTACCCCCCAAGTGCCGATGTTTAGACGCATGCATGTGGCGAGGGGAGAGAGCAGATGAAAAGTAAATGATTTAAATTTCTTTTACTCGTTCTTATCCACCCTCCCTCTATTTCTCCTTCACTATCTTTCTCTCTCTCGTCCGTATCGCCCTTATTTGTTTGCTGCTGCTGCTGCTGCTGCTGCTGGAGGGGATGAGGTGCTCTTTAAATTTAATGTCCCCTCTTAACCCTTTTTCTTTATATTCTCTTCCCCCCTCCTGTCAGTGCCCTCACCCAGAGATATGGTGCACACACGGCAAGCTCGCTTCGCCCCCTCCCTCTCAACATCGAGGCGGCAGTATTATCCCCCTCCCCCTCCATGCATGTATGCATATCCTCCCAGCCCCAAAATTCCTTAACGGAGAGACGCAATAGAGCCGCCCCACCGTCTTGGCATTGCACGCATGCGTACTGAGCGGAGTGGAAGAATGGGGCATCCGTGCAAGCGAGCGGAGCAGACTAGCGGTGACGCTCAAGGAACAGCCGCACCCCAGAGGTGCCGATGAGTCGCCCTGACAACACCGCCCGTGCATGCAGTGCACTGCCCTCATCCACAAATGATGCCATGATGAACTCCACCATGTCACTTTTCTCCATGAGCGCTGTCGCTGCAAACGGGGCCACACTCCTGTCAATGTCATAATCCTTGTCGTCATCATCACCGACATGTTTGTTCGTGTGTCCCTTGCTATTCTTCTCCTTACTGTGCCGTTTCTCACTCCACTGATCACTGGCACCACCACCACTACCACCACCGGCAACCGGGTCCGTCGTGGATGAGGCAACAGGAGTGTCAGCATCATTGATGTTGTCATTCGCATCTATGAGTGCAAGAAATCCTTGTATGCCCCCAAGCGCGCGGAGGGCGAGGGCTCGAGGAGCCGCGGGCACGAGACGGGCGTCCACCAGACACGCCTGCTTTGCACACTCCACGGCGGATAGCGGGTAGTACTGCACCTTCCACCGTCTGCCATACATTTTGGTGTTCTGCAGACGCTTGAACATGGCCGCAGCGACGGTCTTGCTAGGAACCTCAAACGTGAGCGTCGCCCCATCCACCTCTTCCATAATACCGGCATCCGAGATGTGCTTCTGGTACTGTGGCAAGAGACGCCGCACGGCGCGGGTGTAGATGGCAGCCATGTTGCTTGGAAGGTCCGCCACGATGAAGGAGCCATGCAGAACCTCGGCGTCTTCCCCCTCACCGCAACGCTTTTTGGTTCCCCGCTCCCATTTCACCCTCGTCGTAGCATGGGGAACTATGACGTTTCGTGCCCCGTGGCGCTGCGTCAACGCGATCAGCGTGCTTCTTCTCGTGCTTTTTTGTCCTTGTTAACATTTCTCCCTACGCGTCTGCCACCTCACCCCGTGCCTCACACAACCGCTGCAAGCGAATAAAAGCCTATGTGTACTGTGTGCCGTGCGTGTTTGCGCAGGAATCCCCCCTCCCACACACCGACACGCAGCTGCTATCAATAGTGCAAAAACACCCAAACAGCCGTCCGTGAAGGCCCCAGCGACACTCACGCAGAAAAAAAAAAGTTAAAAGTTAAAAACGAGATCAAATAATAATAAAACATGGCAACCACTAATATATATATATATGTATTCTTTTTTTCTCTTGTTTTTATACCACTCCTGGACGCCGTACGGGATACAGGGAGAACGAGCGCACAGGGGAAATGCATTCAACCTCCTACTCTCTCGCTCTCCGTCGGTGGTGTAGTATTTGCCATCTTTACGGAGAGGTGTGTCTTCCCCGATACCTCATCTGCCCCCACAGGTGCAGCCACAGAGAGTGCAAAAACAGGTAAAAAAGGAAAAAGAAAAAGCATCCCACGGCGCTGCAGAGCAAAATGGGTGCGTCTCTCTTCTTCGCTCCGGATTTGCCTCGTTTCACTTACCGTCTGCCTTCATTCCCACCACACCTATCATCTTGCTGCAGCGCCCAAGAAGTTGTTATACACCACTTACAAAACATGTAATTGTGGAACGCAGTGGGGCTGACACCGACCAACGGTGCATGTGCAGGGGGTGAGCCGGGCGTGAGTTGTTGCTGCTGCAGTGCTGCTGCTGGTAGTGGTTTACCAGGTGCAGACGCCCCAAGACTCTCTTGCTGTGAGACAGAGGCGGGCGTGGAAGTCGCAATGCGCAAAGCGTTGTTCCTGTCAAGCGCCAATGCATGCATCACACCATCTGGGAGAGCGAAGAAGGGCAGTGTCTCCTCTGTTATTAGCGGGACTACCAACTCCACGGTCCTGCCGTCAAGGCTCATATGTTTCATTAGATTCGCACACCACAGGTCTGCTGCCAGTCGACACTCACGATGCAGATTCCAGAAGGCCTGCATGAGTTCACCAATGAGCCTACGATTCTCGTTATAGACATCAATGTTGGGGCCCCAGATAGGGTCGCAGTTACGCGAGAATCCTTCTTGCACTGGATTGTTGTTTCCCCCGCCGACGCCACCACCTGCGCATGCCTCTGGGTCTGCGTCCTCAGCGTTAAGTGATGCCTCAGCCCCGCACAGCTCCAACGCCACCCCCATAGCACCAATAAAAAAGGGTGTGGTTTGGGGAAGCGCCAGAGAGTGGCCGTCGCCGGCGTAACTGTCCGTACCGGCCGCAAAGCCACCTTGGCTTCGCATATTTCCTCGCAATGAAGTCCTGCTCATACACTCTTTATTGCCGCTCCTGAAACGGCGGTTATTGCTCCTACAACTACAACTACTAGTACTACTACCCCTAGAGCTGCCGCTGCTGCCTTGGCTGCTGTTACCACTTCGTGAAAGGAGAAGTCTCGGGCAATCTGGTTCTAGTCCAGTGGTCATTTCTAACTGAGGTGCATCATTGGCAGTGGCATTGGCAACAATAGAGCCTCCCAGGTCCTGAGTGGAATCGGGAAAAGGGCCCTTTCTCACCGCCGCAGCATCTGTGGCCGCGCGAGACAACCGTGCACACCAATCCTCTGCATACTCTTGATACTCCAGCATGAGGTCATGAAAAGCCCGCCGACAAGGGCGGCGGGGCGGAATAGGAGTACTACTGCTGCTACCGCCAAGCAGTATCTGCTGTGACGAAAGCCGAGCTGGCGATGACGAGGCCACGTTTCCGTTCTCCTCTAGCAAGGACGTGTGAAACCACTTGTCCTGTAGCAGCTCTTCCGCGCTGGGGCGTTGCGCCGGGTCCGCACAGGCGCACCGCTGCACAAACGAGGCAAAACGCAGCGACCACGGGCCGCAGCGCAACCGAGGAAGCGGACTGTGATGCCGCTTCATCCACCAGGGACAACCACCATCCGCCAGGTGAATAGCCAGCATCGCGAGCATCCAAATGTCGTGTGAAGGCGAAACTGAACAACGCGGATCCCGCGTATTATTTGTTGTCCGAAATGGAGGAACAGAGCCCGTTGCAGCTCCCTTCGTAAATTCCGGTTGCGAGGACATATCCCGCGCATTTACCGCAGATCCATTTTTCACGTCCTCCTCACTTGTAATGCACTCAGGAGGAGGGACATACTCCGATTCCTGCAGAGTAAAAAGATGAAGTTCATCCAGCTCCACCCCTGCACCCTCTGACATGGCGGTCTCAGGGATAACGGAAGACTGGCACTCCTTGTCCGACTTTAACGGGACACACTTTCGACACGCATCTAGAGCTGACACAGCCGTGTCGGCGCTTTGAGTGAGCGCCTCCATCAGTATTTTCTCCACCTGTGCATAGTACCCGTCTGCGAGGACGACGTGCTTCGTCCACTCCAGTGGGTCAAGTACGCCTGTGGATCCGGTGCAAACCCCTCCTGCCCCTGCGGCGGCTCCAGCGCCCTCATCCTCACCAATACCTTGGGTGCTGGAGCAACTGCAACTGCTGCGACTAACGGCATCCACGTCGCGTGTTCCCACCTCTGTCGTGTCCAGAAGCATCCCGCGCCACAGATCGTTGGCACCCCCCACCCCCGAGGAGACTGGTAGTGGAGCGGTGCGCTCTGTGTGGAGTGGTTTCATTGTATCCAGTGCCTCCCCAACATGGGAGGCGACAAAAATGTTCGTTGCCTTTAGACTCCCATGGGCCCCCCCGCCACGGTGCAGGACGACAAGCTGCTGAAGAACGGCATTTATGATGTTCCGAATAGCAGTTTCACGAAGAAGTTGTGAGGGTCGCGTCGCACAAACCCAGCTTTGAAAAACATCGTATATGCAGCCCTGATGCACCAGCGGCATTGATAGGGCAATAGCAAACAACGGTGACGCCTCTATGCGGTCGGTGGAGCCACTCGCACAAAAACTCATGCCAAGGCCACCATCTTCTACGGTATTCAAATCCACGTGGGAGCTCCTTGGAGGCCCATGTCCAGCTCTACCACGAGCCACCCGAGCGCGCGTGCCGTTATTCGTATGCGTGACGCCACGCGAGGCGGCAGTTGCTTTTCCGGAAGAAGTGCCTTGAGGAGGGGCCCCTGAACCCTTGAAGACCTCAGTAGGTTTGGAGTTCCGTTTTACTTTCCGCTGGACTTGCGGAATAGGCTTCACCGTCGCAGGAACCACTGGTTTCACACTCAGTCGTGAAGAAGCTGCTATAGTCGTCGTCGTTGCAGCTGCATTCATCTTCGTACGCTGTTTCTCGGAAAACTTCACAGAGGCTGGTGGCAACCCCAGCTTTCCCGCTTCGTTAACCTCCAATGGAATGATACTGACCCCCACGATGGGGAGCCGCCAATCGGCTGCATACGCACTATCCCGCTCATCCAAATCACCCACGTTAACCGTGTCGGCTTGGAAAACACTGTCGGACATCGTTTTCGCTCCAGTAAACTCACCCAAAACATTCACCCGTAACGAACCAGTGGGGCTACTGGCCCCAACCGAAAGCGACATTAAACCAGAATGCGTGGACAGTGGTGGGATGTTGAGCGACACCGCGTTCCTCCCCGTGTTCCCTGATAGCTGGTGTGCATTGTCCCCCGCCTCCAAAATAGTATCAGTGCATATGAGCGAATGCGGAGGATGGGCAGAGCTGGAAGAAACAAACAAAATGTCTTCATTCTCGTTTACGACGTCATTCGTCGACTCTGCGGCAGCCTTCTCTGTAGGGTGTAGGAAAACCTTTTCCAGTCTTTGCCGCAGTCGAAGAAAGAAAGCGGTGGAAAGCCACTCCCCACTGTTCTTCACGCCCTTCCCAGCATCTTCTTTGTGGCCCTCCACTGGACAATTTGGAGATGCATTCGACCCAGATGCCGCAGTTGAAGCGTCATCCACCCTTTCGCCCCCGCTACTATCCAAAATGGATTCTACACTGTTTTCTGGTATTAACCATGAGCGGGTGAAATCGGTCTGTGCAACGACTTCGCCCAACTTTTCTAGCAATGCCTTGTCGACCAAAAATGCACGTACGGCACACATCACTTTGGTGTCGGTTGAATAGCCACACACAATTTTGCTGCCACGACGTTTATTACGCTCCACCCCGCCACCCACCCATGTGTTTGCCGTCGCCGTGTTCGTTTTCAGCGTCTTCGCTCCTAGCAAAGACGCCTGTCCCTGGCTCTCAATAATGCTCTGGAGTGACTGTGAGTTGTATGAAATAGCAAGATGCACCGGTGAGGGTGTGATGCCGTCCATGGCCACTCCTGCGTGGAGAGGCTTCATGCAGTTCAAGTGACCGACTTGCTGTTCGTCACTGTGGCTCCCACTGTACCCCAGCGGCCTATTAAACACCGCACCGGAGTGCCCCCCGCGTCGTATATCGCACCCCATTGAAGGGCTCGTCAAGCAGAGAGCACAGGAAGCCGCCGGCAATTGTCACCTCCATCATGGAACTGTGCCTCCGCACCGTGTCGCTTGTGGAAAACAACAACTCTGGCGGTGACGTTGGCGAGGACGGCAATGCCCTTCGCCTGGGTTTCCTTTTCCCTGACTGTTTCCGCATCTTAATCCCCTTTTTCCAAAGAAAAAAAAATCCTCCACGTGGAAACTCTTGGCAACGCCGCACTCAACCCTCACACGAGAGAGAAGACGTCTCCCCGTGCACCAATTTCCGCCGTCGTTGTCGTTCTTGTTTGTGCGTTGGCAAACGCACAAGCACAAACAAGAAAATAAGAGAGCAGAAGCGAAAGAGAGAGAGAGAGAGAGAGAGAGAGACGTGCGCCCAGCCACCCAGAAAGAGGTGGGAAAGAGACGGGTTGGGGACGCATGCAGAGAGCGAAGCGATGGACACAGCAGACGACTGAGGAATGCTGGAGAGGAGGTGGGAAAAAAAGGAAGAAAAAAAATAAGTACAAAATAAGACAAACAAACAAACAAAAAAAAAGGTGAGTCCCCCGTCTGTATTTGTGTGCGTGGTTGTGTGTTTACACACGCACAACACACATGCATGCACAAGTAGGTAAAGCTGGGTGTGTATGTATCTCCGTGCGGGAGAACAGGGAAAGACGTTACCCGGTTCATTTGTCCTCTTCTTGACCACCTTCCTGGGGCACTTCAGTGGGAAGACTCTCTTCCTTCACGCGACCCCCCAAACTTCCCTTTCCTCCTCCTCCTTCACCCCACCCCCTCCCCCTCCCCCCACTCCTCGTCAAACAGAAAGAAGAGAGCACAGCATCGCCTCCGCCCCGCTCAAAACAAAAACCAAGCCAAACGAAAAAAAAAAACTTTTACTACCTGCACTCAGTATAATATAAAACTAAACAAATGACCGCCACATACATGCAGATGTAAGCGGGGTACAAAGGCGAAGTGTCGTTTCATACCAGGGAGAGATTTACTCAAGCCAGCACCGTCCTACACAAACACACACACACACACACACACGGAGGAGGAAATGTGGAAAGAGAGTAAGGTACATAGCATATACACGTGTATAGGGAAAAAAAGAGAGAACGAGAGAGC